AGCAGAGTTTAGGGCTGTTGTACATAGGGTCGCTATGAGTCGCAGGCGACTCGACGGCACATAACAACAACAACAACACACCTCTTTAGTGTGCCCAAAGTAGATGCTGGTGCTTTCGAGGATTATGGTGAACCTACCAAGAGTCATAGAGTGTCTTCACTGTGGCTCTTTCATCCTAGGATTGTATAGCCCATGGAATAGTACATTAATAGCGAACTGCCAGATGTTCACACTGGATTCAGATGAGACCAAGGAAAGAGGCCTCATTTGCTGATATCAGATAGATCTCAGCCGAAAGCTGATTATTGACTATTGAGTATGGGTCGTAATAAAATATGGATACCATTGAGAAGAACGGGAATCCCATAACACATGATTATGTTCATGTGAAACTTAAACCTTGGCCCAAGGAGCTGTTGTCTGAACACTGCATGATTTAAAATAAGGAAAGGTGTGAGTCATGGTTGTATCCTCTCTGTTCAATCTGTATATTGAACAAATCATTTGAGAAGCTAGATTATATGAAAAACAGTGTGGCATCAGGATTGGAGGAAGACTCATCAGTACCCTGCATCACGTAGTTTCCGCAGTGTTGTCCGGAGAAAGTGAAGAAGACTTGAAGCACTTAACACCAAAGAGAAAAATCTACAATCTTCAATAAGGATTATATCTTAACATCAAGAAAATTATAATTAAAAAACAATAACAACCACAAACCCAGATTGAAAGTCTTCACTACTGGACCAGTAGGCATCATTGTGATGGAGAAAAGATTGCAGTTGTCAAGGAGGATTTAATTTTACTTGGATCCACAGTCAACAACCAGGGTGATAGCAGTCAAGAAATTAAAAGACCTGGTATATTGGGAGCCTCTGCTGTCAGAGACTTCTCCAAAGTGCTAAAGAACAAGGATGTTAATTTTTATTTTTGTAAGGATGTTAATTTAAAGGCTAAGGTTACCTGATCCAAGTCATGGTCTTTTCAGTTACTTCCTGTGCATCTGAAAGTTGGACAGTGAACCATCGATGCCTTTGAGTTGTGGTGTTGGAGGAGAATATTGAATATTCTCTGAATTGCCACAAGAACAAATGAGTCTTAGAAAAATTAAAGCTACTGTACTGTTTAGAGGCAAGGATGGTGAAACTTCATCTCACATATTTTGGGGGCCAGATGTGAGGAGGAGCCATTACTTGGAAAGGAACGTCATCCTGCTGGGAAAGGTGTAGGGTTAGAAAAAAGAGATGAAGAGCCCTGAGAAGATGGATTGACACGGTGATAGTAACACTGGGCTTGAGATGGTGAAGATGGTACAAGACAGGACAAGTTTCAGATCTGCTGTTTATAGGCTCTCTCTAAGCTGTAGTCAGCACATAACAACAACAAACAGCATTTGTGAATATTGTAAGACTAAATCAAAAGTGAGTGATTTTCAGAATAACCATTTATTTCTCCCAGTTTTTAAGGTTCTAAGTCGAGATCAGGGCCTGGCCATGCTGATTGCTTGCTTTTGGGTATCCTGAGTGTTCTCTGGCTGTTTGACTTGTGGACCATCCTCACATGACATCCATCTTGCTAGGATGTCTTTTGCCTTGGTTTCTAATCTGCCCTTTTTATGATTCATAAACAATTACATTTAGTAA